TATAAGAATAAATTTTTTATATTATTTTTTATATAATTTTTATATGTTATTAAATAGTTAAATATATGTAATATCATGAATTTTAAATATATAAAAATAACTAATAATTTAGATGATACGATAAAATTCTAACAAAAAGTAATATAGATTATATAAAAAGTTTCACAAATCATTTTCCATAGCATAAAAAGTGGATTGAAATTGCTGGCTTTTGTTAGCTAATTTGCAGCCTCCATTTGCATTTCATTTGCATCTCAATTTCATTCATTGTCTTCCATGATATAGCAGTTTGCTGTACGCAGAAAACGTTTACAGCTCTGATGCCATTGCTCCGACGCACTGAGAGCCGGCGCCATATTCGAGAGTAGTTAGAAGATAGGAAGCACCGATCAATCATTAACGAAGGACTCTTTACAAATTCCATATGGCGGGTGTTGCTCTTGGGATTAATTGAATTTACATATGGTGATCCTATAATTTCTACTCATCTTTGTAATTCCTCAATCGATATAGTGAACCATATAGAGAGTGATTCTCATTTATTGATTCTACTTGTAATTATTTCAATTTCTGTTTATTTCTGTCCATATAGAAAGTTCTTTGTTTTTATGAGCTGTGGTAGGAGTTCGGCGCTATCTGGAATTCAAATTGGTGAGAGAATTAATTGGCCCAGTTATCGATGAAATTCAATATAATGATCAGAAAGAGCAGAAGTACGAAATTCGGAACCTTATTTTGGTGATAGTGACGCTTATTGCGGTGGTGACTTTCCTGGCAGGGATCAATCCATATGGCAGGATAATCAGAAAGAACATGTCGCTGGAAGCGCCGTTTTTGCATATCGGAAACAAGCAGCCTTCTATGTTTTCTTGGTCTTTAACACCTTAGCTTTTACAACGTCAGCTTTCATCATTTTCGCTTTCACCCAGGGTTTCCCGTTCAGTCTTGAAATACGACTGCCTATTGTTTCCGTCGTAGTGACTTATGCGTGTGCAGTTTCTGCCATTACTCCACCAGAATCGGAGAATCGGCAAATCTTGCTTACGTCTTGCTCGTGGCTCTTCTACCTATTGTGGCAGGCTCTTTGATCCGCCGGTGCGTCCGTCGGAGAGAAAGGGGACCAGAGAATGATTGGAGAAGAGATACAACAGATGACGTGGTGTAGATATTCTATGAAGATAAATCTAGGTAGACTGGTAGAGTTCTCTTCATTTTTCCTTTAATATATAAGTGGGAAATATATAAATTGCTCTAAAAATTATTACTTTTGAAATAAACCTTCATCTAAAAGGATTATTTAATGCTAATTTGTCATATTAAATTTTTATTTTTGAAAAATTAATTCAAATTTATTGGTTTTTATTAAATTTTGTTAAATAATTACTTTTAAAATTGAAAGAAAAGTTAATAATAAATGTTAACTTTAAATAAATTTCTTTGAAAAGAAAATATTAAGTGATAAATTACTTCAATATTTTTTTATTAAAATTATTTTAACACAACAATTTTAAGAAAAACTTTATACCTTTTGCCTTATCTCTAGCATCTTATTGCTTGACTTTTATATTAATTTGGTATTCAAATGTGATTTGTGCTTTGGAACTGTTGTTTAATGCTGGATTGTGAACTTTTGATTTGCATAGTAGTTTTAAGTACTTTGGTTTTTTTTTTTTTTTTTTTTTTT